AGAGGAAGAGAGAGAGAGAAACATCGACGTGAAGGGGACACATCTAGTGGCTGCCTCCTGCACGGCCCCAACCAGGGCCAGGGACAAACTGCAACCGAGGTACGTGCCCTTAGTGGGAACTGAACCAGGGTCTCTCTGGACCTCAGGTCGACGCTCTAACTGCTGAGCCAAACCAGCCAGGGCTGATGTACTTTTAAAGCAGAAATAAAAAGGAAGATGCCCAGCCGGAGCCTCAGGGGATTCAGCATCATCCCATTTGCATTCCCCGTCAGGGCACATGCCCAGGTTGTGGGCTCGATTCCCAGCGGGGGGCGTGCAGGAGGCAGCCGGTCGGTGTTTCCCTCATCATTGATGTTTCTATCTCTCCCTCTCCCTTCCTCTCTCCGAAATCAATAAAAACATTTTTTAAAAAGAAAAAAAGGGAAGAACACTTTCAGAAGAGGCAGTGATAGCTTCTCCTTCTGTGGGGAGAAGAGAATGACAAGGGAAAGGAAAAGTCCCCTGGGGTCAGGAGCCTCGATCCAGCCTCATCCCACCTGCTGCCTTGGCCCCCTTCAGGTTGGCCCAGGACGCTGGGAATCAATGCTCCACGTCCTGAGAGGCAGCTGGGTGGAGGTGCGAGCTGGCTGGTCTGGGGGCTGCTGCACAGGGCTCGGCATCTGTGACAAATACCTGTTTGGTCTTTGTCCTGGTCCCTGGCACACAGCTCCTAAAACCTTTGTAATCGCTGAGGTGCTAAGAGTGTCTTTTATATGCTAATGAGATGACAGGTGGCTGGGGGACCCTGAAGAGCTTCAGGTTGGGAGGCTGGTCACCAGAAAGACCAAGGCATGATTAGAGGGATGGACGTTTGAGCCCCACTTAGAGAGCTGGGCTGGAGACTGAATGAATCACCAACGGTCAATGATTTAATCAATCATGTCTATGAAATGAAACCTTCACAAATAACCCTCAATGCCAGAGTCTGAAGAGCTTCCGGGTTGGTGGACACATGGAGGTGCTGGGAGGGTGGGGCACCTGGAGAGGGCATGGGAGCTCCGCCCCTCCCCACACGCCTTGTCCTGCGCACCTCTTCCCTCTGGCTGTTCCCGCGTTGCCTCCTTTGTTATAAGTCTGTACTAGTGAGTGAAGTGACTTCCTGAGTTCTGTGAGCTGTTCTAGCAAATTATCAAACCCGAGGAGGGGCTCGTGGGAACCCCCTGACTTTATAGCCAGTCGGTTAAAAGTACAGGGGCCCATACTGTGCATTGGTGTCTGAAATCGGGCAGTCTTATGGGACTGTGCCCTTAACTTATGGGGTCTGTACTAACTCCAGGCAGTATCAGAATTGGATTGAGTCGTAGGACACCTAGAGTCTATCTGGAGAATTAAAGAATTGGTTGAGCTCAGCCAGTGTGGGTCAGTGGTTGAGTATCGACCCATGCACCAAGGTTGCCGGTTCGATTCCTGGTCTGGGCACATGCCCAAGTTGTGGCCCCGATCCCCAGTGCGGGGCATGCAGGAGGCAGCCAACTGATGTTCTCTCTCATCAATGTTTCCATCTCTCTCCCTCTCCCTTCCTTTCTCTCTCTAAAATCAATAAAGAAAAAAAACTTAAAAAAAGAATTGAATGATGTCAGAGAAAAAAACACCCACACATGTAGTGTCCAAAGTTTTGTGAGTAAAATCAGTTCAGGGCACCCCCGTGAAAAAGTGGCATCGCCAGACCTCTGGGAGCCTGTGAGGGCAGAGGCCACAGCACAGGGCTTGGGGGTGGGAGGTCCAGAGGCTGGCCGGAGCGTGAGCACGTGGTCCCAGCTCTCCTCTGGCTTTGGTTGTGTGTCCTGGGGGTGTGGACAAATCTCTGACAGGCCTCAGTTTACTCCCCCATCCCCCCCAGGCTGTCCCCAGGCTGTGCAGTGACACCATCACACCCACAAGCACTCAGCACAGGGCCCAGGAAAAGCAGTCAATTTCCGAGCAGGGACTGACCTGAAGGGCCCATTGCCAAGTCTCGGCTGTGGAGCAATCTTTGCAGGAAGAGCAGAAAGCTTCGAAACCCCGCCCTGAAACATAGGCTGTGTGCCCTCTGTAACTCACATGCCTCCTCTGAGCCTCCATTCCCCAACACCCCCACCATGAGCCAAGACCTTGTTCCACGTGCGTTGGCCTTGATTCATTTAATCCTCACAAGCCTATGAACGGGGTGCCATCATTAGCCCCACATTATAGAGGAAGAAACTGAGGTCGGCAGGCCAGCCCGGATTCACACCCAGCAGGCTGAGTCCCCGCGCTGGCCCAATGGCATTTTTCTTCCTCACCAGATGATTGCATGAATCTCATCAGATCAAAAAGCATAAAAATAGAATCAGGACTCTCAAAATAAGTTAAGGAAGCCAGGCGCACTGAATGGAGAACATCATTTAATGGGGGGAAAAAAGAAAACTCTGATTAATGGAATATTTCAAAATGATCTGTTATGACACCAAGCAAAGACATTTATATATGACTTTGAAATTTTTAATAGCTGATTTTAGAGCAACCTATTATGAAATCTTCCACAGTAGAATATATAGTAAGTAAATCATCAGGCAGGCCTCCCAGGCAGACTGACGGCAGCTCCTCTTAAAATAATTTATACGCTGGGATGGGGGGAGGCTGGAGAAATTATTGCCATAATCATGTATTAATAAAATATTTATAAATATGACTTTCTCTTTTATCGTTACAGGCAGCCACAGGTATGCCCGGGCCCCGAGCCCACATCAGAGGGATGTCCCACATGCCCAGGAGGAGGAACTTGGGCATCAAACCTCATCCCTCTGGTGACAGGCCAATGAAGGGAGGGGGCGGGGGGAGGTCTCCCCTAGCCTCTCTTTAGTCACCTTGGTGGCTGAGAGGGTTCAAGTGTGACAACAGAAATAGAGAGGTGGGTGCCATCGGTCTGCAAGTCTCGCCGTCTTCCTAGACCTTGCAGTGTGCTCGGAGGGAGCAAGCCGGTCTGAGCTCAGTGCACCCTGGGAGCGCCGCCTAACCCGGGCTAACGATGCGATCACAGAGCTGCCTTCCGCTGAGAAACTGCCTTGAGCTAGACGCTCCCGATGACCTGTCCACCACCCCTCGCCCTGGCCGTCCCACGACTGCCACCCCCTATGTGTCCCTGGCCCGTCGCTGCAGGTGTCTGTCTGTGCCTCTCTTTCTCTGGCTGTAGGAGCATGCTCGGTGCATGCATGAGGCAAGCTGGGGGTACAGGAGGTGATGCCCCCCAGGAGCCACCTTCCACCAGGGAGAAGCAGGAGGTGGTAGATAAATATGCCAGGGTATATTCTTCTAGGGTATGTCCTTCAGAGTCTCCCAGGTCCCCGGGGGACTGGGCCCCAGCTGCCTGGATGCACCCTAAGGCACCCAGTATCATCTGCCTTCCCTTCCCTGTCTTACTTCCCCACACCCCTATCAGTGCCTCCTGGAATCCCCTCCCAAAAAGCCACCTGCACCCAAATCTTTGTCTCGGGGTCTGTTTCGGGGAAACAGAGCCTAGTTCAGTTTCCTTTTCTTTACCCCATTTAATCCTCACCTCAAAGGGGAGACCACTAAAAGTGGTGTTTGAACTCGGATCTGTGAGCAGAAACAGCTCTCGAGAGCCCATACCCTGCGGTTGACTGCACCAAACCTCCCGAGCCTCAGTTTACCATTCTGTAAAACTGGTTCACTTCCCTCCACACTTCCCCAACCGACAGACACCTAACTCTGAACCTCCACAGCTTTCCTGGTCTGAGCTGCGCAATTACAACCCCGATCTCGGCTCCGAAGCTGGCTGAGGGTGTAATTCCAGAAGGCTCATCTCTCCAAATGAGATGAAAAACTCCCAAGGAGGGACTCTCTGTGTGATTTGAATACCATATAATTTTCATAAGTCCCCAAATTCTATTCTTATATATATATATTTTTTCCATCTAATTGAAATGCAAAAACTATTCTTGGGTTGCAGCTGTACAATGGCAGGCAGCCGGCGGGCTTTTGCCCGTGCTACCAGGCACCTTCGCCCTATGAAGGCAGGAACCACGTGACTCTTGGTCCCTACCGTCCCCCCAGGGCCTTTCACGGTGCCAAGAGAGGCAGCGGAGGCACTGGGGCAGGGAACCGAGTGAGGAGCCTTGACTGCCAAACCAAGGGATTTCACCTGAAATTCCCCGGGAGGATTCTAAGCTGGGGAACGGCATAATGGGGTACGTTTCAGAACGGAGCCCAGTGGTCACAACTAAGGATGAACGAAGAAAGAGTGAAGACATCAGCAACCAGGCTACTGAGGCCCAAGCAAACCAAACCAAAAAAAAGGGCCACTACCTAATTTAAAGTGATAATAGTATAGAGAAGCCACGGCCAACAGTGCTATCACAGAGAATACCTGCGTGGCCAAGCGGATGACTGGATAGGGAGGTGCTGGCGCGCGGGGCGAGCCGAACCACGTGGGACACCAGGTTGAAGCAGGGACAATCAGCAAACGGGCAATTCGGGAGGAAAAGGATAACGGGGTGGCCCTTAGCACGGATAGCGCGAGCACCTCCAGGATGTCTAGAGAGAAGCCTCACCTCTACAACGCGGACCTGACCTTCTCTCCCGTGTTCTGCAGCCTCTCTGCTCCATGCAGCGGCACTGGCTATGTACGGCTATTTAAATGTATGCTACATAAAACTTAATGCACTTAAAATGCAATTCCTCCGTCGCACAAACTGCGTTTCAAGCGCTCGGCAGCCGCACATGGTAGCGGCTCCTGGGCCGGGCACCGCGGATCGAGCCTCTCCGTCGTCGGGCTAAGTCCCCTGGACGGCGCTGCTCTAGAAGGCCTGCCTCGGAAACCTGCCCGTTTCCTTCTTCCTGCTCGACAGCCGCCCAGGGAGCAGCCCCGGACACACAGAACATGGTACACTGACCCCATCCCACTTCACTGAGAGAAGGGCCTTCTCGGGCCCCGCCCACGGACCCGGCTGGCAGCCCGGGTGAGCTGGGCAGGAAGGACATACCTTTGCAGGCCCCCGCAGCGCCGAGGTGGTAGATGGCTGCCAGCACCCGCCAAATGGCTCGCTGCTCGCTCTCCGAAATGCCCAGGGTCTCCATGGCACCCTGGAGCTGGGCGAAGGCGGCCGCTGCCCTCTGCTTGTCTTCAGGCTGAGGGCAAAGAGAGAGGGGAAGAGAGAGAGGCCATCACGGTGGAGAAAACGCAAACTCACCACCTGAGGCCAAGCTCAGTCGCGGAGGACACGTGTGGTCGCTTTCTGGCCAAGTAAATCACCCCCGGTTACAGCCGAGGAGGGCTGACAATCGCCATTTCTGTTGTACTCGGGAAGGCGATACGGTTTGTATTCATTCGTGTCTTTTTTTTTTTTTTTTTTTTTTTTATCCTCACCCGAGGACATTTTTCGATATTTTGTTCAGATAGAGTGAGAGGGAGAGAGAGAGAGAGAGAGAAACATCGATGTGAAGGGACACATCGAGTGGTTGCCACCCACACGACCCAGCCAGGGCTGGGGACAAACTGCAACCAAGGTACGTGCCCTTAGCGGGAACTGAACCCGGGTCTCTCCAGACCGCAGGCCGACGCTCTAACCGCTGAGCCAAACCGGCCAGGGCTTCATTCGTGTCTTCATTCGGCAGACTGATCAAGGCTCTGCTCTGTGCCAGGCTCTGGCAATGCACAGGCGAGCGAACCCCAGACCTCGACTTTGAGGACCTCTCAAGGTAGGAGCGAAAGGAGATGAAAAGCAACTAAGTGTGAAACAGGCTAAGTGGAGGGAGACGAGTGTGAGTGGGGAGCTTCGGAAAATTGGGGGCAGGAATGCACTAATTAACCCCACCCAAGAGAAGCAAAGACAATGTCATAGCAGATGAGTCAAAACTGTGATTGATGCTGGAAAGATAAACAGGCTGAGTTGACCCACTTAATGTCATAAAGGGCCTGATCAGCAGAAGGAGCTATGTGAGCAAAGCAGATTTTTGGAGACCACGGGGTGGTCACTGATTGCGGACACAGCACAGGTACTTTCGGGGCGGGGCTGACAGAGAGCGGAGGAAATGAGCATGTGCAGGCCTCAAACACATATTAAAGTGCATGAGCTTTACACTCCAGCCATGACTGGCAAATACACGGCCTGTCTACATTCCCGGGCCTGCAGCAGACATCACTAATCGATCAAGATCCCACAGCAAGCCAGTGAGCGCAGATTCGTTTCAGGACATCACCCCTTGCACCCACTGACCTACCTCGGCAACCAGCCGAGAGGGAACCCGCTTGCCACCCCCAACCCCATGCAAGCAACGGAAAACCGCCCAAGATTCTTAAACAGGAGGAAAGAGAAAAATGTCATGATCAGAGGTTTACAGGTTGTAGAGTTTTTTTTTTTTTTTTTTTTAGATTTATGATCCCAATTACGTTTGATTGAATATTAAAATTAGTCTGAAACTCCTGCGCACACACCATCTGGCCAAGGAGACGCGGCCCAGAAGCCTGCTGGGTTAAGAGGAAGTGAGACGGGAGGAGAATTCTTCGCCAATAACCCACCAGCACGCACGGAGGAACTGACTTGCCCTTGAACAGAGCGTGGGTGATAAACTACACACTGCTAAAGCCAGCAGGTCCTTGACTGGTGGAGTCCAGTGCCCAGAGGAGACGACACTTGCCCAAGGTCACACAGCAAATTAGTCCCAGACACAGCACTAGACTCAGGCTTTGCTGACTCCCAGCCCAGGCCACATGTCCCATCCATTCCAGCCACTTCTAACCGGGAAAGAACCCTACAAGGGTCACTGACCAATCGGGACCCATCAGCGCCTGCAGGGGCATGGAAAGACTCGCTGTGGAAACATTCAATTAATGGCAAAAGCATGTTTCACTGATCCATCATATTTCTGGGCCACCACAGGACCACAAAATCCCTAGCAACCAGGAGCTCAACCTAGCAACCACAGCTGCTTCACTGGAGCACACAGAGGGGAGGAAGGCGTCTTACCAACATGGTTATTTATGAGATTTCAGAGAAGCGGAGAAAGAACAGCGAAGAACAGTGGCAACACATTTATTATGGCTCCCACTGTCAGCCCTGAGCATCTGACTTTAAATTACAGGCCGACTCCATCATCTGCCACTTAGCTCGTGTGAAGAGAAGAATGAGAAAACTTCCGCTAAAGCTAATATGCTTCTTTGTCCCTCCCTCCCCACCCCAGTCTCTGTTGACACAGAAGACAGGGAGGGACAAAAACGATTAGGATCAGGAAGATGTTTGCCATTCCTTAAACTCCCAGAGGAGCCAAACATCTCTGCATTGTGCCCTGATAAAAGCCAATCCTTGCATCAAACTCATGAAAACAGAAGTCAGCCAATCTGGTGGAAAAAGTCAACTCAGAGCTCAAATGTCTATCCACAGGAGAATGATAACCACAGGGTGGTACAGCCAGGGCGTGTGTGGAGTACTACACAGCAATGAAAAAGAACAAGCCACTGATACATGTAACCACAGACCCAAAAATCAACACACTGCCTGATTCCATCTGCGTGGGCAAAACTAACCGAGTAAAGAGAAGTCAGGATGGTGACTGGAGTGGGAGGGGTACCTCTGATGGGGGGGGGGGGGACTCAAGGGAGCCTTTGCCAGGAGGGGGGATATTCTAGATCTTGATCTGGAATGTGGTTGCAGGTGTGTTTGAGAACATAAGCATCATCAAATTGTACGCTTAAAATCAGTGCACTTGATACATTTTACTTCATGTCTTACTCAACTAAAAAAAAAGGAAAAAGAAAAAATAATCAACTCACAATGTGCCTAGGGTTTATCTGGTGCAATCGAAGACTCAAGGTCAGCCAAAGACTACAGGTAATTTAGTGAAAAAAATGAAATCCAAAGGCTCTGTCCACATTACACTGGGCTGTGTTCAGAGCACCCAGGAGACTCCGACACTGCAGACGGGCCAGGATTGGCTCGGGGGTCAGAAGAATGAGAAATTCTCTCGACTCTGCGTTCCTGGCAGTGTGGCTTTGCACAGATCTCTTGCCCTCACACTGAGGCCCAGTGTCCACTTCTGACCCTCCTCCCAGGGCCGTCACAGATGTGTGTCGGGTGCCCAGCACACAGGATGCTCAGTAGACGCTGGCCTCCAGGCCCCTCCGTGCCTCTCCCGCCATGTCTTCCAGGGACACCTGTCCCCACTGCTGCCCAAGTTCATGCCCAGCAGGCGTGGCCTGGTCCTCCGCAGAGGCTCCCGGACCGGGGAGGGACCCACTGCACAAACACACAATGATAGCGCACAGGAGCGCTGGGCTAGGAGACTGGGAGGGCAAGGGGCTGAGTGGGAGGGTCAAGACTTCCTGGAAGAAGTGGTGTGTGAAGCAAACAACATAAGCGAGGAAAAGTAGGTGCTGGGAGGGGCAGGGGGCAGGGCAGGGGACATGGTGTGCTGGTGCTGAGGACCCCGAGGATGCTCCTGTAGGCCTGTCTGTCAGAGAGGAGGGCAATGGGCAACCATGGTTCGCGTCTGGGAGCTGTTCTCTGAAGGAGCCAGGGGTACTAGCGGTCTGGCCACGGAGCTGGCACTGGGAGTCGGCTTGCTTGGTTATAAGCACAGTGGGAGGCCTCAGATGGGCCTGGGTCTGACAGCCTCATGGGGATACAAACCAACCCCTCTCTTCCAGGGCTGTGGTGGGCTCCCCTGTGTCTCCCAACCGGCCCAGGGGATTCCCACACCCCAGCCTAGCTGTGGGAGTAAAATGCTGAACACTAATTCGATTCAATGGCAAAAGAAACACGGGTGTCTGCAGAACTGGGTGGACCTCATGGAGACCATGGGAGGGGGCGCGGGACAGGTGACATCTAGAGCCAGGAGCTCCCCTTCCCAAGTGACTCTGCCCATGCTCAAAACTGACCAATCCACATCCTCTCTGGACACTGGGGCGTCCATTTGCGGAGAAGAGAATGTGTTAATTGAGCACCTACTATGCTGTGCCAGGTGCTTTCACGCCATTAGGCGGGTGTGGGTCTCTCCAATCGATAGAGGAAGAAACTGAGGCTCCGAGAAGGAAAAGTGCTTATCCGAGGCTACCCATCTGAGGAAGGACAGAGTCACTAAATGTCCAACATTCTACTGGGCCCCCAATCCTAGGAAAAGACTGAGAAGTTGGGATTTGCTCTACCCATTCCACGGGTGGAAAAGCTGAAGCTAAGAGAAGGTAAGTGATATACCGTGGGCAAGGTCTTCAGCCACGAAACAGGACGGAGTCAGGCCAACTGGGGGTTCCAGTCCTGCCTTTGCCTCTTAAAAGCTGTGTGCCCTTGGGCAAATAACTCCACTTCTCTGAGCCTGGTTACTCCTCCTGAAGAGATGTGGTAACAATTTTCCAAGGACCATTAGGAGGAGTAAGTAAGAGACTGCCCCCGGCAGAGCCCCTGGTACGGCGCACGATCCTCCATCCTTCTGTTTCAGCTGATACCTGGGTCATAAAAAATAAATGTGCCCCGGGCCAGAGTCTGGCGTGTGACAGCCAGAAGCAAATTACTAGGAGGTAAGGATCATCATTACCACTGTGGCTGGGCACTTTTTTTTAAAAATCAGGCTATGTTGAAGAAAAATAAATTATAGAGAAGAAAATAATATGAAAGCTTTGTGACTTCAAATGTGTCCTGGTGCCCTGGCAGATCTCAAAGAAGTTCCATTTAAAAGCTGAAATGTGTCAGGCAGCGAGGAGGCTCTGTGGGGACCAGGAGGAGGAAATGACAGTCAGCCAGCAGAGGTGGCAACCGAGGTCCAGCGCATCCACCCCGCGTCCCACACCCTCATCCTCTGGTCTACAACCACACTGTACTCTTTGCTGTCTTCCCACATTTACCTCAGCATCAGGTGCTCTGTGTAGCAGGAATGCTAGTCTCACTGTTCCTAACTCCACTCTTAGTCCAGGACCAGTTGTCACCACCTCCAGGCAGCCTTCCCTGATATGCCTCTACCCCTGCCAGCATACCCTCAGCCTACACACACCTCTACTCAGGCACCTATCACTCTGACTCGGAATGATCTGTGTCTGTGACCACGGCAGCCCTCATTGACCTCCAGAACATAAGTCCTTTGTGACAGAGACCCCGCTGAGTTCTCTCTCTGTGCCAGTGCCTGGGATCTAATAAGATCAA